AAAGAGATGGTATTTTTTTATACTATACGCCCGATAGTTGGCGCCAATTAAATTCTGTTCTAATTTTAAGTTAAGCAGAACGGGTGCTGCGCTCTTGCTCAGGGCTGGTTTCGAACTCCTGACGCTACGAGACGACTCCGCCCCTCCGGCCGTCCCAGAGTGCTGGGATGACAGGCGTGAGGCCATAGTGACACAAACTGACATAATTCTGTCCTCTAATGTTTTTATGTGTGCAAGCAGCGAGCAAGCTTAGTTCTATGCAATTAGCAAAATCGCCGAGCAGGAAGGCAATGTCAATAAGTGCAGTGATGCGTATCTTTTATTACGGTCTCTAAGACCGTGTTCATCCGTCACACCTCCCTATTTTGCTTTGACTTTGCGTCGCCCTGTCCCGGGCTGGCCCCTTGCAGACACTGTTTTGTTCTGTGTGTCTGCACGTGTGAACTTTGAGGTGGCTTGTAGCATTAGGTAGGTACGCTTCCAGCCGGCCCGGCTTGCAGACCACGGGGGGGAGAGTGAGGCTGTCCACAGCGCACGACGCATTCGCCTGTGCACTCACTGCTCCCCTGGACTGTGCCAGCCACGGCTTAGGGTCCATGCGTGTGTCGGTGGCCTTAGCACTGCCCCCATACATGACAGCACACGTGGGCTGATCGCCCTAGAGGCGAGAGGCAGTGGGAAGGTCCTGGATGGCCCTTATAAGTAGGGCTCCGCACAAACCTTGGCGCCACCCCACAGCGCGCGCCGCAACGTACACAAGACATAAGCTTTTCCTGATTTGGGGGCCGCTTGTTACAGCAGCTAGGGCCGCCCTGACAATAAAGGTCAGAAGAAGCAAGGTGTCCGGGGACGGCGTGGTGGCTCACGCCTGTGATCCCAGCACTCTGGGGGGGCCGAGGCGGGAGGATCGCTTGAGCTCAGGAGTTCGAGACCAGCCTGAGCAAGAGCGAGACGTGTCACTATAGTAACCACTTTACTGTCTGTATGTATCTATATACATTTTGTGTATGCATAATATCATATTGTAAGTAATATACAAAATAACATTAATATACAGTAACAATTAATAAACAGTAATATACACAGTAACATATTTTAAGTAATATACACAATAACATTTATTTTTTTAACTCATTGACAGCCACACTAGAAAAAAAATATCTTTTCTTGGGGCTATGGTGTCTTTTTTATGAAAATAGAATAAAAACTTCATAAACAAAAAGATCCTTTGTAATTTAATGAAAATTTTGTTATTTTTTTATTGTTTTCTGTATGCGAGTTACATGCAACTTGAAAAATAGCTCTCACGGCTGCCAGGGCGAAGAGTCATGTGAGTTACATATGCTTCACTTGGCCCCGGGCTCAAAACGAGCGCGAGTTAAATACGACTCACATGGCAGTTCGTGTGTTGGAAAGGACCCATGGAGAAATTTTTTTTACAAAGAAAATCCATAGGCAAAGTGCATTATGGGGGCAGCGTATTTTACTTGGTAATCTTGCAAAGACATGTGTTGTGAACCACGGAACCAATCCCGTTCTTCCTTGAGGAACAGCGGCAAGAAAACACCAAGCAAAGTTTAATCTTAGGCTAATACTAGATTGCAAGCACGCCACATCCTATTACTTGCCAAGTACTTAAGGTACTTTATTAGTAAGGGGAGATTAATACAGTACGTTATATTGAATTACAAGAAAATTCATTGTGAAAATTAATCTATGGGGCTTGGGGACCGAAATGAGGTAGGCAGGAATAGGGTAGAAGTTTCTGGGGTGAGGATAATGTTCTATGTCTGGATAGGCATTTGGGTTATGCAAGTGTAAGCACTTGTCGAAACTCGGTGTGTATATGCTTATCTGTGAGTTTCATTGTGTATAAACTTAACTTCAAAAAAACCCAAAAAGGCTGGGCGTGGTGTCTCATTCCTATAATCCTAGCACTCTGGGAGGCCGAGGCAGGAGGATCGCTTGAACTCAGGAGTTCGAGACCAGCCTGAGCAAGAGTGAGACCCTGTTTCCACTTAAAATAGAAAAATTAGCCAGGCATGGTGGTGTGCACCTGTAGTCCCAGCTACTCGGGAGGAGGCCGAGGCAGGAGGATCGCTTGAGCCCAGGACTCGGAGGTTGCTGTGAGCTAGGCTGACGCCACGGCACTCCAGCCTGAGCAACAGAGCAGGTGAAGTAGGTAAGTCAGGTTTTAGTGACAAGACAGGTTAAGGGGGTGAGAGACCAGGAGACCAGCAAGGGAGGTCTTGTGCACATAAAATCCCCCAGGCAGCAGCCCCCAGAGAGAATAGGTGCTACATGTCTCTTTCCAGTCCTTTAAGAGTGCCAGACTCTCAGCTCATGTTTCCTAGATCCAGAGGGCTGTCTGCATTAATGTCGAGTTTTTTTTATAAACGTTACATTTCACCCACGCAAGACACTTTCGCAGGGCCACTTGTGTCCGCTGGCGCTCTGGTACCATCTCTAAATATGTCAGAGGAACACATCTTGGGGTCAAACAATTCGATTTCCTTTGCCATCCACACACGTGTGCAGACCACACGGTTTGGTCTGTCTCCTGAAACAGGCTCGCGTCTGGCTTCGTAGCTAGAGGCTACGGAGATGCTAGAAGAATCCTAGAAGATTCTTCTAGATTCTAGAAGAGATTCTAGAAGAATCCAGAAGAGATTCTAGAAGAACCTAGGAGGTTCTAGAAGAGATTCTAGAAGAACCTAGGAGGTGCTAGAGGAGATTCTAGAAGAACCT